GGGTAACAGGCGATGATTTAACCTACTTTTGATGGCAAAATCATTTTAATATAAATGAAATAGTGGCAGGTACTATTTATATTTAATGAGCCATAAAATAATAGGTTGATCTGGCAGCTGTTAGCTGAATTCGCGAATACTACTTATCATGGGTTTTCAAAGCCCGTGGTCACCCATTTAGTTTCTTCATCCTAGCTCAAATCCACTCAAGAATGCTCTTAATTACAATGGTGTTATGTTAGATGCAGCATCTATTAAACTCTGGAATCACAGCACCCCTAACTTAATCATAATTCCGTTGTTTGACCTAGATCTAGGGAAAAGTAGTAGGAAGGCAGCTTATGAGTGCTCTCGATGTTCATAAGCTTACTACCTTTACATAGGCCTATGGCCTTCAGATAAGTTAGGGATCCCTCATTTTAACCAAACCTGTATTCCTAATTACAGGTTATATAGTGAACGAGCATTTCAATGAGGCATTTTTTATGAAGGATAAAACAGCAAAGATAAACAATTTTGCAATTCTGGCCTATTTTATGACTAGAAAAATGTTAGATCTATAAGACATACACCTAGGTCTACGAGTTTATTGATGCACCTACAATTCATGTATTCTGAATAATCTGAAACGTTAAAATTGAATGTATTATGCCGCAGGTACGTGGGTACGTGGTTACGAGGTATAATGTTTTTTATACAAAGCCCGAAGTATTGACTGAGAGAATAGAGTGATCGAGTGACAATATCATAATTACACAAGGCAATAAACCTATTGTCAAAGGGTAAAACCCATAGCATTAAACTGTTTATTCCATCAAAATCCTGGGAAACCCAATCAGCAAAACAATCCAATATAATTTGAAATGAACAAAAACGCATCAAATTTTTGGCCAAACCATTGGAGAAAATTATTATTTGCATGACAGTACTATGTATACAATGGTACCTGTATCAATACCTACTACATGTACACATAACACTATTCGAAAGATCATTTACAGCAAACCCCTTTACACTTTCGAAACATCCAAGTTGGTTTATGATAAAGAAATATACACATGGGAAGAGTTAATTCAAATAAGATGTTATTGAATCATGTTTGTTGAAACATCGCAAATGTGTAATATTTAAAATATTCATTTACATTATACAATACAAATAAATAAACAAGTATTTTATCGTATGTGCTTTACTAAGTGTTAAAGTGTGCGCCAAAGTTTAAAACTGCGCAGGCGCACCGCTCTCGCTAACCTATATAAAGAGATTACCAGCACAGGCTTCAGAGGTAAGCCAGGAAGGTGAACAATCTTCGTTCCGTGTTGATTCCCCGTATAATCGTAACCAAGTCAGTTTCACCATTGAAATTAAAAATTACTATTAGATATACTTTGTAGATGTTATTTATGAAGCTATATATTTAGTGTATGCATCAATCAAATGGCTCATTTTGAACATATAAAAAGTATTTGTGTTTTGTTTCCCAGGGAATTGTATTCCCATGTAGTACACACATAAATAGTGTACATTATGTAGTACTTGAATAACCTGGTTTATATAATATTGAAGGGCATGCTGATTACATGCACACGAGTACATGAATGAAGGCCTAATATTGATATAGCTTGCATACCTAAATAAAACATAAACTCTTCTAATCCCCTAATGTAAACATTATACGTATACGTAGCCCGATTTATCGGGGACTTTAAACACAGTTATGTTTTACTGTACATACAGGGTGGGCCAATAAAAATTGGAACATTTTTCTTTTTATTCAATTTTCTTTATTATTGCAGTTCAGCTCACAAAAATTCAGATAATGGTAAAATTGTTATTTGTGAAAATGTTAAAGATACAAATATGTGTGTATGATTATTTTTGGCTTGTCATGGTCATGATCTGTATACTGTGTGCGTCATAAAAAGTTTCCACATTTTTCTCTGCTCGAGACATCATTGCTTAAAATACAGTATCTCATACCATACAATATGTGCCCTTCAAATGGTCTCAACACAATTTCCATCAATAAAACCATATGTAGTTATCTCTAGGAGAAGCTAGACATGTCTGCCATTGATAATATAGCTTAACTGACCTCAGATTTTTTCAGAACTGGCACAATATGTCTCAAACCTATCATTTAAGCCATGCGTGACTGTCAAATCCAGCCCAGACTGATTGTTCAGGTGGGTGGAGGACATGTTCAGTAATTGAATGTTGAGCTTGTATATTCATATTTGTTCAAGCTGTTGACAATGAATTGTTTTTCAATTTCTTAAAGCATTGAAGATAATACATGACTAACAAAAAAGTTACAATCGATGGAAAACTGTTCCAATTTTTTTTTACTCAACGCAAGGGTTTCCTGATCATGTCCTTCGCCCACTTGAACAATCGGTCTTAGCTGTATTTGACAGTCATACATGGCTTAAATCACAGGTTTTGAGACATATTGTGCCAATTTTGAAAAAATCTGAGGTCAGTTAAGAAACATGTCTTGCTTCCCCTAGAGATAACTACATATGTTTTAATTGATGAAAATTGTGTTGAGACCATCTGAAGGGTGCATATTGTATGGTATGAAAGATACTGTATTTTCAGCAGTGATGTCTCAAGCAGAGAAAATTTGGAAATTTTTTATGACACACGCAGAATACAGATCATGACCATGACAAGCCAAAAATAATCATACATACATGATTTTATCTTTAACATTTTCACAAATAATCATTCTACCATAATCTGAATTTTCATGGATTGTACTGCAAAAAATAAAGACAATTGAATAAACAGAAAAATGTTCCAATTTTTATTGGCCCACCCCGTACTTTACAGGACATAGTCATGTTGACATATCCATACTCATTTCTATAATACGTATGCAACAGTGAATACACAGGGTATTAAGCAGATATGCACTCACCCTTGTAGAATATATCATGCAATCTATGGAACATGTATAGCTCTATCTATAAACATCATTGCATAAAATAGGGTACAGCTAAATGTCGCTCTAGGTGACATCTTTTCATACACTTTACACTTAGGTCATGAGGTAAAAATGACAAATGGATTATCAGATAATGCTTATCTCATTAAGATCATTTTTTTCTCTTGGGAGATCAATTATGTGACATAGCTCAATGTTTTCGTGCATTAAAGTTATTGAAAGATTGCTACTTTTAGGTCGAAAATTCGGCCTAAAAAAGTTATTGTTTTCGGATTATCCTAATCCCAAAGTAATTAAGTTTTCCTTTTTAAAGGTAAATCATTGCTTACAATAAATTGTAATTTTGCCATAAAAGCTGAAATAAAATGCTGCATTTTTGGTAAAAATTGCGTCAGAATTAGGGGTATTGGTGAAGATGGCTTAAGAGATAATCCAATCAACTTGATTATCATCCTAATGTCATTCATTGAAGATAAGACATGGATCTAACAGAATCATTTGTTTTTGTGATTAAAGTATTTTTCGAACTGAAGATATAGCCCTTCAAAAATGCTTGCCATATCTTACGTACTCCTTTGAGAAATTCTATACCCAACAATGGGGGTTTCTGAGACATGAAGTTACTGAATTATTAGTTACATTTGGAGGAATACACCATTTTAAACAGTTTTCAATCCAATAAAAACTATTGTGAAAAATATCAGCTATATTATGAAAGTCCGATTAATTACATCCATTTTGTGATTAAATTTGAGGTAATACCCTTCAGATTCAGAGGTCTCTTCTCAGTTCAAAATTAGGGGTAGGGGTAACATAAATTATAATAAATTGGAAGTGCAATATAATTATAAAAAATTATCTCTCTCAATGACTCATAAATAATATACATCTTATACTAAGATTATACCTACCAAAAATATCAAGAACTGAAGAGATGGGCTAATAATTCATTATCCATCGGTATAATTCAAATGACATTTTACTTTTTTGTGCTAAAGTTAAAGATAACATACTGTTCTATTGTTTTAACTAGAAGTTTGTGGTCTAACAATAATCCGAGAAAAAAGGACTGCCTAGTATATTATAATTTGAAATATTGAGAACAATAGTTAACAGTGGTTCTGCAACAGGACATGAAACTTAAAGGAATATTCCTCTCGGTTGCAAACACCCTTCTTTATTGTAAGTAACACTTATATGTACTCGGTAAGATATGATGTGAATTCAATTATTATAATAACAATAAAAAAGAATTATAAAAATATTTCCACTTGTTCCATTTAATATGAAATTAAGATAACTTTTAGGGGTATGGCTTAATAAATGACGGTCATCGAATCTCTTCAAAGATTGTTATCTTATTGGCTGATCAAATGATAACAAAAAGATATGCCTGTACATGGGTGGGACTCTATTCGGGATATTGAAAATATTATTTTGGCTTCGTTTATGCAGGAGATCTATACATTCGATCGTTTTGCAGTCAAAAATATTAATAAAAAGAATGAAACGATGTAAATATGTTGTATCTTCATTTATACAGTGAGTATGTATGGAAGTACGGAGCATCATCAGTGTTAGATTTTTGCTTCAAAACTCAACTTTTGTCCAAGTTGATACGATTGTCTCTCGAACAAGAGACTCATTTAAAATATTCCGAAAGACTTTATCTATACTGAAAATCTAGGATCCCGGTAGAATGGTCGAATACGTCGTCACTCCGCTTTTGATTTTTTGAAGTGAGGCAGCTCATCGGTACATTGACGTGCCTTTTCAGCTGTAATAGACACTCGTTATTCTCGTATTACATAATTCATATTTTATTAGAAACGAAAAAGGTTTCGTCAAGTCTTACGAATCGACGGACTATTTAAATTGCATTTGTGTAGTATAAATGAATCATATGTGTAAACATTTAGTTTTGACTCGGCTAGGGATTTCCCTTGCATTTTTCTAGAAACACGTCAAATATGACAATGAGGGTATTCAGAATTGTTACTTCTATTGATGACCTGCTAAGGATATAGTTTCCATGTATGTAGCTTATTACCGTTGTGTTATTCTTTTTTGGAGGAACAGCAACGTTGACAAGTATAAGTTCTGTGTCTTTCATCTCTTGAACATGGATGATCACCTCGTTTCTGGAAGTGACGTATAATTTCCCGGAGAATGGCACAACTATCTAAAATGTAAATGTTCTGCTGTTTTAACTGCTTTTGTATAATAAGAAACAGAATTGTCTTTTTCTATGCTAGATATCTACAAAAGCCCAATAAGCCCATTACAGCAGATATATAATTTAAAACCAAACACGCTGTGCAGCTCAGTCCCAGAGCTTGTTTTTGCAAAGGGGTTCAGTTTTAAATAATGTTTAGATTCAAATTTGTAAATTTTGGTTTATATTATTATATAATTAAACCAACGTCATTATATACTGATATACTAATAATAATACATTAGCCGTCAAAACGTACTAGTTCAATGCCTGCAAAAACATTATATGATACATTTAGTTCTATGGCAGAAAATAAGGAGTTAAGCATCAAGGAGTTACGTCTTAAGTGTATAACATTAATGGCCTTGGTGTTCATGACACGTCCGTCGGACTTTGCACCTGAGGGCTTGTCGTTCAATGGCGAGAATTACGAACAATTATGCCTTTCTCGTGAACAAGTCATATTTTACGATTATGGAACAAGCAATTGGATGTGATTGATCCATTATCGGTATATATCGAAAGTACAAATTCGTTAAGTCGATCGATCAATGGGAATCCTTATAATCCTTAATTATATAATAATATAAACCATAGTCATAATTACGACGTTGTCTCATTTTCTTAGTTTACGACATAATGTCGTAAATCATCACTTGTTTGGGTGCATGTTCAGTCTGTGGTCAATTATATTACCAGGTATAATGAGTTAAAATAAGTTTAAATATACAATTTAAAGTGAATTTATTATACAATGTGGTGTAATTTGTACTCATACAACTGTAAGGCTGTAAGCTGTATGAGTACAAGTTACACCACATTGTATAATAAAATCACTTTAAATTGTGTGTTTGATGCGATTCTGTTTGAATTCATAACATACCGCTGATCCAACTTTAACTTGGAGTTGTGCCCCGCTGTATTTGTATCTTCTTCGCTGTGTTGATGGGAAAAAGCCGTTACCGCATTTCTTTGATTGCAAATATTTACGTGGAAATCGTTTTGAAATCTTCGGTCCAAATACATTGTCTATTAGAGATTTTGCTATTTCATACCTAGATGGAGAAAATATAGTACTAGTTGTGATACAGAAGTGCAACTTGTTGTCATTTATACAACATACTAAAATTTCACACATTATTTAAAACCTTCAAAAAGTTGTAGACTGTAACAATTACAATTGCTTATGTCACCACTTCTGGTGGTGAAAAAGCGGCGACATGATTGAAGTCAAAAGTCAAGAAACATTATTTCACAAATACTTCTAATTTTCAAAATTGTCGGAGTTTGAAAAGCCTTTGCATTTTCAAGATTAGATAAATATTCTTTTTGAACGATACATCTACCCTTCTTTGAGTCCTCGTAATGCCTCTGTTATATCATGTACACACACAATTATATCCTGAAATGTTTGAATGAAGGGTTGCAAAACCTCTCCCAATGGGCCAAGTCCTGTTGTTATGTCTTCAAGACTTGATAGTAGTTCGATAAATATCAGACTACGCATTCGTATCTGAAACAATTTAAATTAACTGGATTACGAGGGTTGTCCAAGAAGTAATGCACTATATGCTCTAACTTTCTTTAATATGCGTCAATTCAGCTTTAATGTTGTGTATACTGCAATTAAAGTGTTATCTGTTATATCCTGAAGTTTCAGAATCATATGTTAATATTAAGTATTAAAATGGTTGCTATAGCAACACAAAGGTATGGATGGGTGGGGCAGGTACCAATTCTTCTAATCATGAAAAGCTCTAATTTGTTATTCTATATATATTTGTTTTTTAAATGATCAAAATATTTGGGAAATATGAAAAATTATTCAGCATGATTTTCACTAAGCACAAATAATGACATTTAGTATTGTGATGGCATAATGCCACAGTTCAATAGTCACAAATTTAAATTCAGTCACAGTCAAGCAATTGCAAAAATGGCTGCAATTCTCAAACCTGATAAAAGGCCTTGCGTTCGGTGGCCCAATTTCATAATTCACTTGGACCCAAAGCCTTACAAATGTTACCATGGAGAAAGTATGTATGGGTTAAAAAGCATATAGAACTACAATTATGAGGTGACAGAAGAGATTTAAAAATGATGACTGGACCCAGGATGACAACTCCAAATCTGGGAGGCCAAACAACTCACTTTGTCACGGTGAGAGAAATTGCTAAGAGCGTTTCAGGACTGGGTGAGAAGGCATCAAAAGTGCATTACATGCAAAGGCCAATATTTTGAGAAAATGTGAAACGGGACACTGTACAATATACGACCATTAAATGTAGGATGTGACAAAAAATCTACAGCCAAAACCAAGATATTTGGTACCAAGTGTGATCTATTATTAGAAAGGTCTTCCAAAGTTACGTTGATTAGCATATATCCGACACATGTCAATCAATCTCACAAATTTTTACATTGTATCAATTGAAGTGACAATAGGCAGGATTTTAAGAATCGGGTATAAGAAAGGTCAAAGTACCAAAATATGACTAAATATGTACATGGCAATGAATTTAACCAATTTCTGGATAGGGTTAGATGTGTAGAAAAAAGAGGTGCAAGGAAAGTGGTGAAAACCTTTTTGTAACAAGTGGAAAGCGAAAAAGATTAACTTTTTGACATATTTCTGAGGCCATATCCTTGTCATTTTGCTTAAAGGAGGGTACGTTAACTATAAAGGACATCATAAAAATATAGGTAAATTTCATCCAAAATATTTGAGAGTTGGTGAATTAACATAACTTTTGATAATCTTTCCAATGGTATATCACACTAGGTAGGTACTAGGTTTAGCTGTAGCAGGGGGGATGGGACTTATTTGACATCCTGTAGATATAAAAATACAAGTGACAACGGCAAAAAACTAGTAGGTTAGATGACAGTAAGGTCACGAGGGAGGAACCAAACCTCAACATCACAAACAACGATATAACCTTAACAGAACGTCTATTAGATGCAAGTCCATATATTATGTTATATATTATGTTTTAGGAATAGAATCTAGGCAACTTACAGGATCAATGTTAAAGAATGTTTTCATTTCATAATCAGAATTTTCTGCTTTATTGCTCCACTCCTGAAATTTTTTAAATGACTCGATTGACTCTTTGATGTCTTCTATTATTCCCAGGACAACTGTTTTCAAATCCCACCAGTATGGCTTTTCATCTATAAGCATAATCATTTGATTAATTATTTTTGATGCAATTACATATCGTTCACGTACATTAAAGTGTATCGTTGAGGAATCATTTGAACATACTATTTGTGCTACCTTTCTTTAGTAATATTACGCAGTTATTTTAATAAAAAGATAACTGCAAAGTCACATACTTTGATGTAAAGCTCATATTACAAATTACATCTGGAAATTTCGTCATAATTGTATGCCCTTGATAGTTGACGTTCGTAACACCAAATACAAACCAAGCATTGACGTTATGAACTACCTTTCAGAAAGAAGCATGCGTTTTCCACTCTTCGTTTTGCATCGTATATTGTCCCGATTGCCATTTCAATCCTGCAATATATTCGAATATTTTCAAAGAAAACAATCTTACAGTTTGTCCCGATGTCATGTACATTTACGTTCCAAACAGTGAAAATAATGCTAAAATGCCGCCTGTTGATGCTTTGAGGTGTCTTCAATTGTCATTTAATCCAAATAAAGTAAACATTATTTTGTAGATTTAGACACGGGCTTTCAGGTCGTATATGCATTTAAGTCATTAAATTAATAAGAACGCTAGATTATACGTGTTACTTGGGGCAACACATTGAAATGAAATAACAAAATTAAATATGAACACATTAATGATAAATGCCTATCCGCTATCCTATTAATGACTATCCGCTACTCAGAATAATTAAAATTGTCCGAACTGCATGTGGAGAATCTTTTTATACAATCCCTTGAATGATCTAATTCACTACTGTCCTCAAAAACCAATCATTTGAAATATTTTATTCAAAATATCATGCCACGACTTGAGAGCATTTTATTCTTCACGATTTGCCGTGGCGCTGATATGACGTCGTATCTCTCTATTTTTGTAAAAAAAATCGTCGATGGGACAAATTATGTCACGCACATAATAAATAATAACTAAAGATCTAAGAAATGAGGATAGTCGTGTGATATATCATTGAATCTTGAGCCCATGAGCATTTTTATGATTGTATAATATCATTTATTTTATAAGTTTATTTGCCGTCTTTTCTTCCCTGGATTTGGTCTACCAAATATCAAGGGGGAAAAAGTCGAGATGGGACAATTTGATGCCACGCACGTTAAAAGGAAAATGTCATACTCAGCTTAATCGAAAGATGTTAAACTCGACTGAATCATTAAATATGGGCTATGAGCTTTCTGGACATACCAAATATGTCATCATTTGTTTCGATCATATCATTTTAGAATGTTATCAAAAGTACCCTCAACAATTTTACAACGTCAAAAAATATTTTCGAAGAAAAGAATGCTAAATGGGGCACATCATTTTACCACCTGGTCCCAATACAGGCATAACAATGCAATTAGACTTAAAATAATGATGTACAGCAGGGTGATCATTGAGTTCTGGGAATTGGTCTGCCATTTCAAAATTTCTCAACCATTTGAGTTGAAATTTTTAGCAGGTGTACATTGTATAATTTTGAATTGACAGGCAATGTTTCATATACATACCACTTCTACAATTTATTTTATTGTAACTATAAAAAAAAAAGTAAAAGTCGTCCGCGGGTCAGCAAATTTTGACTGATGTTAATCTTAAAAGTTTCCTGCAAAACATATTCATCTTGCCTGGATGGTTGCTTCAAACTACTTGTACTAGTGGTAGAACAGTACTCTTGAAGTCATTTATTCAGAAGTATTCTTCATTGCTGAGAGGATCATTTCATTATAATTGTTTCCATTAGCCTGGACGCACATGCATTGTTGACAAACCTAGTCCATAAAGAAGACGCTTTCCAGTCTTCCATTTGGTATCCCTTGAAGATTTGCTCAATCTGTTGAAATCAGTCCCTTATCTTGACCCGCTTTGCCATTTGTCATGTTGCTATAGTAACAATAATCATCCATAGTGATATCATATGACAATGAGTTTTATCCAACCCAAAATTACATTTTCCATTTACCTTGAAAATTCGATGAAAAGTAATGAAATGACAGAAAAATTCCCAGAACTTGGTGATCACCCTATGTAGTATTGACCCTATGCATCAGTGTGACGTCATGCCTTTGTCCGGCCAGAAAATATTGCTGGCCGTCTAGAAAACGTCATAAGCAACCAGTGCTCAAAATGGCGACGAAGTGATGAGAAAAAGTTAAAAGAGTATGCCTAAATGCTGCGTTGCTGTTGAATGTTCGAATAGAGAACAAGTCGGCATTACGTTTTATCGCTTTCCGAGTGACAAGAAGTCACCTGTAAAAAGAAAGCTATGGATAAATGCTGTGAAAAGGCAAAACTGGGAACCAAAAGAACATGATCGACTTTGCAGCGCTCATTTCTTGTCAGGTACAGTGTAGTAATCGAAACAGACCTGGTTTTCTAAATCATAAGTAAAATAAAATTTTATTAATTATAAAGTTATCAGTAAATAATGCACATTCAAATGCCACGCATTGTGTCAGTGGCGTAGCCAGGATTTGGTGACCGGGGGTTCTATTTTTATGTTATTCATAAATCCCCCTCCCCTTCATTAGGGTTCCTCAAATAATGCAATTTGTACAATTACACTCCCTCCAAAAGTTTGGCAATCCTAACTAACCCATTGGATTATGTATTAAAGCATCTTTAAGTTTGAATTCTTATATGCATATTTTGTAAAGAAAAAACTATTTTGGGAGGGGAAATATAATTCATTTTAATACCTTCATTAGCTTAAGTCGACAATTGAATTTGAAATTTTATTTAACAAAAATGATGTCTTTATTTATGTTAAGCAGAGTCTGAAAGTAATAGGCTGTTATCAAGAAACCTCTCCCATTGAAATAACACAGGACGTAAAAATGATTTTCAAAAATGACCCTGTAGCTTTGTAAGGCAACGTGCAAAAAAAGTCAGACATCTTTGGTGAATTTTCTGCATCAAAATATATTTTGGTGAATCTTTTACTGAATACATATCCTGAAATCTGATTTGCCCCGAATCCACCATTATTTTTGGTATAAATTTACGGTAGATTTCGGTAAAATTACGGTAGATTTTTTATGGTCGTTTTTACGGGAAAAATTGTAATTTTTTACGGTAGTTTGTCATTTTTTACGGAAAACGAAAACTTGTTTTACGGTAGATTCCCATAAAAATACGGTAGGCAGGTATGGTATTACTGATGAAAATATATTTTATTCAAAGAACTGGGTCTCGGTTATATTGTTTTAAGAAGTTAAAAATATTTCTTTGGACGTCCCCAGAGCTCAGTGGTTAGTCCCCCGGAACAAATCAACTGCTGATAATAAAAACATTTTGGTGGATATAAATCATATATAAATACAAGCGACTGTGCTACGTTTTCATGACATTATAAAATAGAAAAATTAGTGGAATCTCACTGGAAAAGCATAATTTTGTATATTGAAATGAAGGGAGTCTTTGTAATTCGCCATATTTCTATCGGTTTTTTTCTTCGTAAAATGTTTGCTATGTAAATAATATAAATACATAACTTGTATTTTTAACGTCAAGTTGCAGTTGAAGATAGATAGAATAAGAACAAATTACCTTTTTGATCATAGCTTTGATGTTCAAACAGATAATAAGGGCCTAAGGTACTGTCGTTTTTTCGAGGTCTCCTCTTCCGCAAGGAGGATTGGCTCCCAGAGTGCACCACCGATATTCTGTCCCATATATGGGTATGTCGTAATACAAAATTCGAATTCAAACAGCCGCCATTTTGTTCACTTCAACATTTAAATCGTGAATTTTGGTCTTATTTCCAAACGAAAAATTCCAAAACTCACAAGAAATGATCGAGATATTGGTTCGAATCTTTTGAACTGTTTATTTTGAATTTATAGTCGGTTTTAATTTCAGAAAATAACGACATTTCGACGTTTTCATTGTTGGAAAATATCGAGTTTCGATCCTGGGAGCCAATCCTCCTTGCTCTGCCGAAGGCAGCGCGAAGTAGGAGCGTAGCGACTACTTTGCGGGAGACCTCGAACCATTGATCACGTTTGCTCCTGTAATTATTCACTTCTTCACCTCTTTAAAATGTGATTTCAATCAGTTGATCAAATTTTCGGACTTTGACCTCAATTTCAAATATTAATATTTATAAGAAAAAATACTGACTCATTGATATATTTTTAAAAGTCTTTTAAATAAAGTGAAATGAAGCCAAAATCAGCTAAAATTATGCAATGTCGTAAAATGGCGTGACTGGAATATGATGCAATCACCCGTGACGTCAGAAACGTATTGCCACATCAACAACTAAACAAACAATTAATATAGACTTCACTGATTGGTTTAAAGATTCTTCGCATCATTTGTGACGTCATTAACATGTTACCCAACCAACAACTAAACAAATAACAAATAGGCATATAGGTTCGTTCAGTGCCACGCTCTTGAATCAGTTATAAACAGGGATAATCAACAGATATATGAGAGGGTCAGGCATTTTTTTTGACTTGGAGACCTCGACTCGAGGAGTTTGCTGCATTTTCTTGTTTTTGAGTTTTACACATTTTTACTATTTCTTTGGCATCCAAGATAGCGGATGTGCGTTGGTGACGTCACAATATGTTATTACCTCATAAAAGAACTTGATATGTATCATGTTAGACGCATTGTCCAAGAGTCTCCCGAAAAATAGATGTACCATTTCTAGCTGGTATTTCTGTAAATGTACATGAGATCGGGACATAGTATGATGTGTAAATGGTGATCTGGAAATTGTGTCATCAATGGATTAGGTGAATGATTTATAAAATATTCAACTGATGAATGGAGACTGTTGTGATTCACTCTTAAAAATGCATTAGAAATACTTCATACTTTTTTTGTGGACGCCCTGTAGTTCATTTGATCTACGGGAATTGTTTTTGAGATGACTGGGGAAATTAACGTTTAAGTTTTTGAGCACCAAGTAGATTCAAACCAAAAACCAATGATGTAATGATCTGGAATGTATACTGAATAGCATTGTGCAATAATAATATTTTGCGACAAATTGATTCCCTTCAAAGTGTCATTTGACAATCTTTCACGTGACATAAAATTTCTGCTCTAAAAATGAAATCAGATTGCGATAAGGTATCACATGATATAATCTAAATGGAGTCAAACTTGTACTGTTTTATTACATTTTGAAAAGCATCCATGCATGTACTAACCCATCCTGATAATGCACTCATACTTTGCCTTCATGCATTATATATTTAAGGATTGGAGCGATGATTAATTTAGGGAGCAATACCCGAGTGGAATGAATCGGCCACAATGCATTGAGCCCTTGGCTTAATAGATTATTTTCACATATTGCAAAATAGTTTATACAATTTCACTTCAAAGATACGGAATGAAATAAAAGAATATATTTTCAGGAAACTTTTTGCAAGGGTCAAGTTGTCACCTTAACAAACATTCATCACTTTCCAATTCACCTGCATAAGCTCGCACTTGGCTTGTTATGATACTATTTATAAATTCTACTCAACTATGAAATTGATCAGCTTGTCAGTTTTATCATTTTAACTAGAATTTAAAATGACATTGGGTGCATATTGCAATGCAGTTATATAAAAAAGCGTGTTCTAATTGGTTGGAACTGGACACACCTTGCCTAGTTATGTGTGAATTATTGGTTTGTACATGCACTCATGCTTTAAATTACCAAAATAGAATGACGCAGGATTCTCTATTCATTATTTAATATAGGGTCGGTCGGTTCGAATTCCTTATTAGAAATATTGCTTTATTATTTATCAATAGGTAAAACTAAATCCTACTGCATAACAGATTTTGCAACGGTTGCAATTGCTGTCTTTGGGGATCTCAGAAGATCTTCCAGGCTCTTAGCAGCATTTGACAGCGCCTCTTCTACTTGTTGTGCAGCCCATGGTAAGGCAATTTCGACAGCATCTGATATGGACTAGTAAAAATTTGGATAATTAATAGTACAATAACATTTAGTTCAAGGGGCAAATAGTACAGTATTATTACCACCGTTTATGTCCAGGGCTGAAATAGAAAGAACTGAGTACCACTGAACGGAAATTATACGCATCGAATGATATCTCATTTCCTGGGGAACATTGCCGGGCTGTTATATCCATTATTGGCCCGCTACTATGGTCAACCACTTTGATTTCACATATTGCTCAGGTCAATATAGTAAATTCGAACATGATTGTATTCACGCCTTCTATAAACTGTAAACAAAGTCATCATTTCACTCAGGGTATATTCGCGAAGAATACCCCTGGTAATATGTCTAATGTGTGACGTCATTGCGGCGTGTCATAGTAATGGCGGACCATAATGAATATTCGAACATGACTGTATTCTATCAACTGTGAACAAAGTCAATGCTTCAGCTGGGTTATATTCGAGATCAATTCCTCGGCTCTGTACTAAGTGTTTCGTTCAGTGCACTCATTGGTCAGTGTAGGCCGTTCCGTTCTTTCGCATCCCCCTCTTTTCTGCAAAATTCTAAATGGCAGGGAGAAATTGTCTGGAGCCAAAATTTTCTGTCGGAGCATTTGTAAACTGTTATCTCAATAAAAAACTTAAGTCGGGGTCAGGAGGTAAGTAAACAAATTGGAACAGCCAAACGCCTCAACCGGAAGTAGAAATGAAAAAAGTGAAAATGAACATCGAAATTGACGATTTTGCAATATTCTGGTGAGTTTTCATGTTCGAATCGTAATATAGACCTCAGAGCAGGGCTACTAGTATCGAATACACCCCTAGGTCTCCCTTCGGTCGTTCGGGGTACAGAAAACGTTTGTGCCTAGACCCTGCGGGGTGTATTCGAAACTAGAAGCCCTGCTCTTCGGTCTATATTTCTTAATTCGAAACATTTTGTTGAGTTTTCATGTTCGGATCGTAATATAGAACTCGGAGTAGGGGTAATATCGTCAAATACACCCCTTAGGGTTAGGCACAAAAGCTTTCGAACTCCGCACTCCCTTCGGTCGTTCGGGGTACAGAAAATGTTTGTGCCTGTCCCTGCGGGATGTATTCGACGATATTACCCCTGCTCTTCGGTCTATATTTCTTTAATAAATGCCTTCTTAACTAGAACTTATCCACTAAAATAGGCTCGGCAAGGTGGTAATAATGTATCATAATATAAAGAATACGTGGCCAAGGAAAGGCATATGGATTGCAATAACAAGCTTCCAATATAAAATCCAATACAAAAATATATATTCCATATATTCCAAAGGTTTAGTACTTTGAAGCAAATGTTCTAACAAATGGTGGCTGAACTATACTGCCAGTGCACAAACTCAAGTTAGTGGGTATGGCCATATTTGGTATATAGCCTGGTTCAGGCTAAATATCTTAAAATAAACAAGATCGAAGTATTTTTCGGCATATTGCAAAACAACAGAATTAAAGTATAATATGTGTATACTTACATTGTAAAATTCTAAGATTGCCTTTTTGATATCCATGACAAGTGAATTCGTCTTTTGTATTACTTCTTTGATTTTAACCACGGCATCCGGGAGTCCATTATACTTTCCAAATTGTATCATAGCATGGTCAATAAATCTATTCAGATTTAAATTCTTTGGAACATCCTTGATAGCATCAATCATAACATCAAAAACATCTGCTATGCTTATTTGCTGATATCGTTTGATCATATCGCTAAACCTCGTGATAACATTTTTAATATTACCTATGACTTTATTTGCAATCACATCGTACAACTGGACAAGTTTCAACGCATCATCAAAGCCAAATTCCTGTAATGAATTGTGCAAGAATATCAATATCAAAAAGATTGAGCCAGAAAATCAATATTTTATAATCCTATTAATGTTGGATTCGGTAGTTTGTAAGTTTGCAAAACATTCAGATATGTATACTGTATTTTGTTGAGGTTTTAGTGAGACTGTATCTTAAATCATTGCTTTATATACAAGTCAATATTTTGGTTTAATTCACCTGGAAAATATTCAGCCCGTATTTTACTTCTCCATTGAAACACACTTCAGCCAAAACAAAATCGAGGTCGAAACCGACGAATTTGATTACACCACGTGCATACACCATATCATGTATATCAACGAGAAAATGTCCACGCAACGGTTCTGTAATATAAGTTTATGGAGCAATCCATTCCTTAAGATATCATACTTCATATACATATAATGTTTTTGTAAAAGTTTAATCGGATTAAACTAAGATTCGCAATACAGTTGCTCTGCTTTGCTTTGCGAGCTAAGCTTACATGTAAGTTCCAAGTACTGTACTACAAAAAAAGAGAAACAGGTCTACCTGCTTGCGTTAACTCTACATGAACATGTTTGCTCGTTTTTGGTATCACTGAGAATTATACATTGATTTGATGAACCACTTACCTACTTGCAAAGACAATACGTTTTTTATCAATAAACCAAACTTGGCTCCGATTTCATCAATTCCAATTCGCTTTTCCCAATCGATTCCGGGTAGTTCTATGTTTATATCAATTAACTTATACTCAAGAGGGTTAATTCCTCGTTTTTGCCGATGTCGGACTGACATTTCCCGTACCTTCTTATGAAGACTCGTGTTTCGATAGCTACAAAGCAATTAATTTGTTATCATTATTCAGTCGAGGACGCTAACTATAATTAATAATAATTATTGCAAGGATAGTGTCTGACTAATATCCTAATTTTAACCAAGGATACAAATATAAAAAATATTCGAAACATAGCTTTACATGAATATTCAATTATAAATTAATAATGCCTATGGCACCGTATTGTTTCTATCCTACCCGAGATGAACTATATTTCGTATCTCCTGCACATCAACAGCATGTGAGTGCATCCAATATTGTATAGATGCCTGATGACGTACATGTGGCTCTGGGTCAGTCAGAGCTACTGACAAGATGTGGTGTGCTGCCTACGAATAATTAATATGAACTATTATCATGGAAATTATGCTAATATGCAAGACATATTGGATTTTTAAATAATTTACAAATTCATTTTTTATGGATTATACTCAAGAAAACTTAACGTGAATAGCAAACCTCATCCATTTGATAGTGTCGCAAAGCCTGAACTGCACTGCGCTTTAACAAAGATGGCGTATCACTGTGGGAGATGTACGATAAAACATAAGGAAAGGAAGATTCATCAGCAGCATTGCCAATGGCATGTATAAGACCCGCTTTGTGGTGCAAGTGTGAATCAAGTTCTCTCTCTGACATGGCTGATCGAATTACTCGATGTGAAGCTTCATCTGTAAATTGAAATAGGAATTTTTATTTGTGATTACTCTCTACTATATCAATAGTACATCAATAGTACGGACAACTACAACATGATAAGTGATGTAGTTGTATAGTTATGTATGATGCTATTTAGGATCACATTGAAATATTAAATACCGTGGTATCCGAGATGTGAGTGCAACTTGTCAATAATTCGTTTTCCCATATTCACATTGTGTTTCGTAAATGTTTTCGCCATCGAACCAAGTGTTAGGATTGCTCGATTTTTCACTTTGTATGCATCGTCCTCATCTAAAAGATTTTAAACATTTTGATCATTTGTTCTCAACATAATTAAATTATAAAAAAAACTCTTCACGGAATCACAATCCACCTTAACTTCAACTCTCCAACTTTTAATAACATATTAAGTAAGCATTATATACACAGTACAAATCGAAATGTTGTAGTTATAGTGTCAGAAATGGCTCAAACTTCAGTGCTTATATTATATTAATTTGATATATTTCAAATATTCCAAATAATGTTTAAAACATCAAACAAGAAAAAACGTATCATATCTATAAAAAATAAAAGTAAAAGCAATTTTTCAAAACATAAAAAGGGAAAATGTTCAAAGCAAATGTTGAGAACTTCAAGTAAAAAAAAACTGAGTCGAATAGTCGAATAAGAAATGTTCTATAGTTCAAAGTAAGTATACATCGGTTTCGTGTACAAACTTTTGTATATTTTTCTTGAAATTGTTGATCCTATGTACATTTTTCTAATTCGAACTTTTTGATTTTTCTATTCAAACAGTATGGTGATACTTATTTTTATATTCAAACAGTTCGACTTCATTAATATCTTTTATAAACATGCGCAAGAATTGGAATAATCTGATCGTCCCCATGAAACCTATGAACTGATCCGCATTGGCATACTAATCACACATCACAGTGCGCTTGCGCAGACTCCAGAATGCCGGACTGTTTGAATAAAAAATGATCTTGCAAGTGGAATGTTGATTTCTTAGTTCGAACTTTTGATCCTTTTTGGTTCGAACTTTTTGCATAAAGACGCTCAAAATCCCATGGGTAATAGGTATCTACATACCTTCGAAGCGTGATCTATTGGCGAAAGCATATGCCTCTATAACGTCGACCGCCATCTGAAAATTAGTTTTCTTTGAGATATTTTGATTTTTGTAGACGCAAAATATTCAGTTAAAGAAATACCTCAGGAAGAATATTCTAAAACATAAATCGACCATTATCAGATATGAACGGAAAATTCAACAAATTAAACAAATCTGGAAGATTTTTTTCATGAGAAAGATTACGATTGAATTGCTAAATGAATAGGCGCACGACAAAAGAAATATGTTAGGTCTTCTCGGATTTTTTTGAAGTGATGGGCTTCTAAGATATAAGGTCTATTAAAAAAGGCGCAGCGTAGCCAACGTGCAAATGCCAATGTTTTGCTATAAATCAAGCAATAAGGGTCTACACGACCTGTTATAAAGTGACGTTATTATTTATTTTTTTTTTTTATTTATTTTTTTATTATCATATTCATTTAGTATTACATTAACAGTGTTGGCACTTGATACCCATAAAAGGGCATATCAGTGCTAAAATCAAAAGTTGTACAATATAAAAATATATTACAATTTATATGAATTGAATAAAGCAAGAAATACAATTATAGATATCATACCAGTTCATGTTATAAAATACGACAATATACAAAAATGCCTGCACATAAACAATTCAAAAGTGAAAAATACAAACATAATACAATTGTGGAAGAATAACAGTACATGCTCATGGCTCAGTAACAATTTATTAAGGTTTTTTTGTAATTGTATTTAAAGGAGTAAAATGATGGTAAAGATTGAAGGGATGTTGGTAGTTTGTTCCATATTATTGTTCCAGAGTATTGAATTGATTTTTTTGTTAAGTTTGATTTAAATTTGCATGGGATAATGTGATGGATTTGTCTCGTGGTACGAGTGTGTCTGAAATTGAAATACTGTTTAAATAAATGGGAAGGAAAATGTGCTGGTTCTTTAACTATATTAAACATGAATTTTGCTTTTTCTAATTTATGAATATCAAAGATAGTTAATATATGTAATTGCTTGAATAGTGGTAAACTTGGGTGAAGTAAATCTAAATTTAAAGATAATTTGACAAATTTTTTTTGAATTGCATAAATCTTGTCTAATAAAAATTTGTTGGCATTTCCCCATATGATGTTACAATATGAAATGTGAGAATATATAAGTGAGTAGTATATATCTAGCAAAGCTGTTAAATGTAATTTGTAGCGTATTTTGTAAAGTATACCTAGAGTTTTGGATATTTTCGAAATAATATAAGATATATGTTCGTTCCAATTTAATTTATTGTCAATTATTACTCCAAGAAAGTTTGTTTTTTCAACTCGTTCAATAGTATTTCTATCAATAATTAACTGATATTTGGGATCATTGAGTTTAGTTTTTGATTTAGTAAAGATCATATAATTAGTTTTATCTATGTTGAGTGAAAGTTTATTGTTCTTGAACCAATTAGAAATATTAATCATTTCATTATTTGCAATTTTGAATAAGTTTTCTAGGTTATCATCTTCGAGACATATATTAGTATCATCAGCAAAAATAACTAATTTGAAAATATCTGATACCTTAAAAAGATCGTTTATATATAGTGTAAATAATACTGGCCCCAAGACAGAGCCTTGAGGGACACCAAAAGTTAAAGTTTCATTTTTATCTGAATATGTATCCTCAATAAAAGTTTTTAAAGGACGGTTTTTTAAATAACTTCTAAACCAATCATTAGCAACACCGCGAAAACCTAACATTTCTAGTTTATTTAGTAAAATTGTATGGTCAATGGTATCAAATGCCTTGGAAAGGTCTAAATATAAACCTAAAACATGTTTTTTATTATCTAAAGCAAAACGAATTTGTTCAGAAAAAGTAAGAATGGCCATATAAGTTGAATGTTTTTCTTTAAAACCAAATTGCCTTTCATGCATTAGATTATTAGTTTTAAGAAATGTAGAAAAACGTTTATGCATTACTTTTTCAAGAAGTTTAGAAAAAACACTCAGTAAAGAAATAGGTCTATAGTTCTTAAAAAGTGATCTTTCTCCTTTTTTGAAAAGTGCTATTAATTTTGTAATCTTTAGTTTATCTGGAAAAATACCTGATTGCAGTGAAAGGTTAACAATATGTGTAAAAGGAGTAGCTATATTGAATCTAGCATGTTTAATTACCATGGGCTTTATATCGTCAAAACCAGGTGCTTTATCACCAAGTCCCTGCATTAATGTTAAAATTTCATCTTCAGTAACAGGATCCAGAAATATAGAATGTATGTTTCTCGTAATATTGGCAAATGGTGACCCATTGGAATTAATTTTTGATGCAAGTTTTGGACCAACATTTGCAAAGTATGAAGAAAAATTGTTTGCCACAGTTAATTTATCTTTCGTTAAAGTATTATTTATAAGCATGTTAAATTCAGATGCATTTGAATTATTATTTCTTTTCAAAATGTTATTAATAATTGACCAAGTTTGCTTAAGATTACCTTTAACTTCATGGAATTTATAGCTATAATGTTTTTTTTCAGAAAAGCGAATTATATGTTGCAATTTGTTTTTATCACAAAGCTATTGTCATTGTTGGTTTTGTAAAATACGCTATCATACATAATATAAAAAATAATCGAAAATAATGAATTTAGAACGGAAGGGGGGTGAACGGAGGGGGGGGGGTAATGTATGTATAAGGCATGAGATAAGAGATGTAACTTGATTTTATTTCTAATAACTCCAAATGTTTTTCACCTGTTCACTCTTCAGAGTTGTAACATTCAGTTGTTACTAAGTTCATTTTTCAAATACACGTTTTCTCTTCCACTTTAAAGTCATATTACTCCCCCCCCCCTCCGTTCGATTTTAATTATTTTCGATTTTTTATCTAACGTATGGAAACTTATTTGAAAAATCCAACCGTGACATTAATTGTGGGATAAAAACGTCACTTACACGTATTTATTACATATCGTGTAAACCATTAGCTTGATTTATGGCAAAAACAAAGATTTGTGCACGTTGTTGACGTTGCGTTATCTTAGAAGCATATTTGTTCAAAAAAATCTGAGAAAACCTAATATATTTTCCCGTACCCTGCACCTATTCATTTAGCTATTCAATTGTTAACATTCCTTTGAAAAAAATAAATCTTGCAGATTTGTTGACTTTTCTAGCAACAATCATCTACTCCCCCCACCGTTCATTGCTTCCGATCACCGGGCGTGATTATATGACCTACCCCTGGTGGAGGGAATTCTAGCTTTACAAAATGCAGCATCCCCCCTGCTACGAGTTTTGCATCTGCTTTCGAATTTCTCAGCACATGTTTCACAATCAGATCGAGTGAATGATTGGTACCCATCATTGCTATCACATCCATTGTTACATATTGCAAGGCAAAGTCAAATGATGTATTTGGCTGGATATCGAGCTGGGCCTTCGCGAATATTGCGATATCAGGATCTGATAAATGCTTCATTAGTTGAGCTGCAGTTTGAAGATAGTTTGTGCGATCTACGGAATCTGAAAGTATATTAAAAATATCGAACTGGTTTTATTAGTTTTAGTAAGTAAACATAGAGGAGGTTAAATGGTTTGTTACAGTTGAATGAATACCAACTTGATATGATATAATGTAACATTATATCATATCAAGTTGGTATTCATTCAATCTGCTTTGTTCAAGAATGTAAAGCTCAAAACGGATCAATCAATCTTTTTGCATGTACATGTATTATATCATTAACTACTGACCTGCATTTGGTATCTTGGCAACCATAGTCAAATTACCGAGAAGTGCATCGCGTATTTGGTCAAGTGGCTTTATATGGACAGCATTGTACCTTGGAACAACTAAATCATCTTCTTTTAGATCCTTTGGTTCAACGACACGTGTATGATTGTCACTTGTAAGAATTGCAGTTAGGTGGAGATGATCATGGGATAACACCGTCATTATAGGTAGCACTTGGAAATAAGAAACATTTAATTGATTTGTTTTCATGATTGTTGATTACGAGGAGTGCTTCAAAAGATATGGACAAAATTTTATAGGGGTCACATTCATTATTAGTGTTTTCTACAGTCTCAAAATTGATTTTGTACTCAGATCGTGAAAAAATAACACTTAGCTAAAAATCTCTTACTTTCCAGAAGTAAATACAACATTCAACCTAACAGCACATAACCTTTCTTGCGTCAACCATTGAGCATAAGCTCAATATCCAAGAGATAAGAAATAAAGTTCAATTAAATCAGACTTACTTACGGGAAGTTTTGAGCTCACGTGCTTGACGTTTTATGTAACAGATTCGGTTGTTTTGCCATTCAAATGTTTTTTATTCCCGGACTAATCAATTTAAAAGTGCATATCTTTATTTTTATTTACTTTGCATAATTCAGAAACAGTCATAGACAATTAGTGTCTAAATGCCTATGATGAGTGTGATTTGACTAATCTGATATGATTAAGATTTCTGTGCTGCGAGTATTGACGAGGCAGTGTGTCAAAATTCAAATATATCAGGTGTCCCAAAAAATGAGACACTTATTGACAAGTATTTTCTCGGCAACTGATGAACCAAATTCACTGAAAACTTGTACAAGTTAAAGTAGCTTAAGAGTATCACTAGTATGTTGTAAAAATATATTGTTAGAATAAATATGGATAAGTATTTTTGCTAAGAAATGGATTGATAAGTGGCTTTTACAATGAAAATTGTTATTTTAACATACTGTTTTGAATCAAAAATACACATATGATATGAGTGCCTCAATTAACGTTGTCAAAGAATTTGGCTCATCTATTGCCGAGAAATCACTTGTCAAATTGCTTCGTACAAACGTTATGAAGTTCTCATAGCATTAATTCCACGGTATGGGATCTTTTGACATGCCATCTTGAATTTTTTAGTACTCACATAACATTTATCTGATCTTTTTCATAATTTTGTACCTTGCTAACGATACTCTCGTGCTACTTTGCACGGATTTTCAGTAAAGGATTGGTATCGATATGGTGAACTTTTTGAACACGATCTTTCTCTTAAACCAGTCATCAAAACATTCTGAAAATTTTACACATGGTCAATTTGATGGTCATATTTTGAAATATATATATCCTTTTCTCTAATTATTTTAGAGAACACACCAGATATTTCTTTTGTTCTTGGTATCATATGTTCGAAATGAAATGAAACATCTATCCGAACCTCATTGAAACAAAGCGACATGAACACAATGTATTTAGGTCTCTCGACATTGTAATTGTATAAAGGAAAGTTTGGTTGATTTTAAAAAAGTATCTTGTTAATGAAATAAAATGTTTATCTTAATTTTGATCTATTTTGAGGGGTTTTGTTTTAGGTTTTTGCATACTTTTTGTAAAATCAACCAAAATTTCCTTTGTATACTGTAATATTGAGAGGTCTAAGAAAATGTTGTATATGCTATTTTATTCCTACAAGGTTCGGAAAGACATTTTATTTCATTCTCAAGAATTGGTAGAAAGGAACAAGAAACGATTGCATTAAAAAACAAAAAATGTTAACAAAACATAAAATATATATAAATAGATTTTGCATATATGTTGCCAATCAGTCAACATTACATAAATGACGTTGTTTTACAGAATGTTTTCAATAATTGTTTTAAGAGAAAAACATTGTTGAATTTTAGTTCACCATGTCGACACCTGATGGGACACCTGATATTTTTATGGTTATTTTAAAATGACTTATTTCTGTTAATCCTACAGGTAACTAATGATCCTTTTAGGTAGCCATATGTCTTGACAATACTCGCTGTACAGTAATTTCAGGGGTGCTCATGTGTGCTCAAAATAAAGCGTATCAACACTTCCGGAATTAACGAAGTCAGTCTGTTTTACTCTCTATTTTTTATCTCTTTAATATAGTGCTTATTATCAACGGTTGGCGCAAAAAGGTTACGTGGCGTTTGGTTAAATGTTTTATAACTTCTGGAAGGTAAGTGACAGTGACATTCTTTAGCTAAGTCTTATTTTTCACGATAAAATTACTCAAAAATATTCAATTAGAAGACTGAAAAATCTAGAAGGCATGTAAGGTTCCCATTCATGAGGTAACTCTTTTTCAATGTCAACTAATTGCATTTCTTATGCTCAACAGAAAAAACTCACCAATGTCACTAGCCCATCCTTCTCCATGGTCCTTAGTAGGATCCCCGGGCAGTCGTCTGCCACTTTCGTACCTTAATATAATGTCGTGAAAGAATGTGTTTATCACTTACTCTGGTTACATATAGCACCGCGTTTACTAGCGGATAGGAAGAGTTGATTTCAATATCTCTGGGTGTGTGAGCTATATCAATGTCCGCGTAGTTCAGGATGGTTGTCATACAATTGCCGGGGTAAAACAACGATACCGTGAAAGTATTCTCTCGACATAAATTATCCCCTTCAGGGTCACCTATATATATTTTCTTGAAAAATCCAGGTGATAAATATATTATGATTATGATTATGACTGCGCGCTCAACAGAACAATTGGTCGATACTGAGTGAAGTCAGTGTTGCAAGATAATTAACACCTAAAGCGATCCTGTACATATAGTACTTAGGCTCCATCTTTGAACTGCCCGCGGCGCAAGTAAACTGCATTATATCATGTATATCTAAGTTGAGAAGTAATCAAATTATTAAGTAAAATGCTTCCTTATAGGAATCGCAGCCGATGAGATCGGAGAGGCGTCAGTCCATCAACATTTGTGGTACAAATTAAACTATTCGTATTTAGTCGTATGAACATTTTTGTTTGTCCATTGCTGTATCTATCTGACCTGTCATTGCCCTGACATCAAATAATCCAGAGTGTGCAAGGGATTATGGATATTAAATCAATACACGAACTGTACAGACGTTATCGTCATATATGATCTTACCCAGACGAAGGCTTGTTTGGTGCTGTAAAGTTGACAGCAGACACAACACGTTCTGGAACTTTATTCATCTTATTGTATTCAACCATCTGAAATTATCATTGCGGTTATTAAGACGAATACGTTTACAACAGAGGGGCGTGTGACACTGCTTCCGCAACTAACGGACCCAGTATCTAGAGATACTTCCTTATTGTCCCAGTACTTAGGTAAATTGTTTGTGCTTTATCTCAATTCGAATTAATCATACATCAAAATAAATGCCCTAATGGGAGTTTATCCACATTACAACATTAGAAAATGAAAGAAATAATAAAATGTCCACATCACTGCATCCCATCTCCACCCCACCCCAAATTATGCAATTATAGTTCAAGTATGAATAAAAAGTGAATTATATTGTTTTCAAAGCGTTGCCATCTTAATTGAATTTTACCCTGTGAAGTACACCTAGCGTTTTTGATTTTTTGTTTCAACATGTTTAATATAAGGTTTCCATAATGATAATAATGTTTCATCGATAAGTACGCCAAGAAAGTTTCCAACTATAGTTCTATCTAAAAGTGTATTATTCATGAAGATTTTTATTTGTTCATGTTCAATTTTTAGGAGACCTGATATAATATAATTTGTTTGATTAAATGCAAGTTCGTTCACTTAAACCATTCATTAGTTAAAGAGAGTTCCCTATTAACTGTTATTATTAACTGATATTAAAGTCATCAAGATTGTTTCCAGAGAATAGTATATTTGAATCGTCTGCATATAGGAACAATTTTGAAGCCTATGAGGATATGTAAATGTCATTAATATATATGATAAACCAAAGGGGTCCCAAAATTATTCCTTGTGGGACACAACATGACGATTCAACTATATCAGACGTTTCCCCTTCGAAACATGCCACCTGGAATATTTTTGACGGATAACTTTGAAACCAATCGGAGGCAGTTTCCCGAATTTCAAAATAATATAATTTCTGCATCAATATATTGTGATTTAATGAATCGAAAGCTTTAGAGAGGTCACACATTAATCCTATGGAATATTTGTGATCTTCTAAGGCAAGACGTGCCGATTCAACAAATTTAAGAACAACCATGAATGTTGAGTGATCCTTCTCGAAGCCATACTGATGTTCATATAAGATGTTTTGTTTATCTAAGAAATCAAGCAATCTGTTAGACATACATTTTTCATAAATTTTAGAAAATATAGAGAGAAGAGATACGGGACGATAATGTTAACAACGTTATTGCGATATTTTTATGAATGGGAATGACTTATGTGAATTTTATATCATCTTGAAATATACACTGCATACATGACTGATTGATAATACACTCACGGTGTTATAGCATGACGGTTACGACACCTCTGAAAACGAGATTAGACGACTACGATCACTGATTTATCCAATAAAATGGTGCATTATTTTCTTCTACTGTGTATCAATGAAAGGATGAACGATTTTTGTAGGCATGGCATTCGGTGATGCATTTAGTAATGTATATTTTGAATGTATTCTTTGCAAATTGATGCCCGGGGATAAATTCAAAACTACCCTGAATTTAGTAATTTGTTTATTTTTGTCGTAAGGGCATGGTCTACATTGCCTAACGACCTCGGGGTATATAGATGTAGCCTACATACGATCATAAAAAGCCAATTGAGCATTGGAAACCACCTAATATGTTCTACTTAAGCCATAATATTGTATTTTTAATTTGCGGTTACACAAAAAAATTGATTGAGGGTTACGCGAAGCTCGTTCAAATATGTATCCCAGATTCATTGTTATTAATTTTTTTTTGTCATATTCATCAGTACTTGATGCTAATTCTTCTTTTGCCTTTTCATTGCTATCTTTGTGACTTAAATTAGTTTCATGAATAAAGCAAGACACAATTTTTTCCGTGCCCTATATAGGCTCAAACAAGAGCCTCTCTTGCGAGTCCTGAAAACAAATATAAGCAATTCAATATTCCATTTCTTTCCCATTATAACAATTACATGGAAAGAGGCTATCAGAACTAGCAACCTTAACTTGAAAGATGTACATGCAAGTAACCATCCGCTAAATAACCAATGTACATCTAATACAATACGTTACCGTCCAAGAATTCATACGTAGTCGTCTAACGACATTGCGTTTGAAACCTTATTATTTACAATATACACCACGTTCCTGTTCCGGATTTGTCATTTTATGGTTGTTCATACATTAGTTTACTTACAGTTAATAGTTTGAGTGGCTCTGAGGCACATATACTGAGAAATCACGAGAATGGACTAAAAAATATGAACTTGGACATCTCAGTCGGTAAGTTTACAGCTTATATTCCACTTCTAGTAAACCACCTGGCTGATTTGACCCAGTCTTTATAACCATCCATATAAACGTCACCGAATGGAACTAGTTGAAAAGGAAATCGTATCTGTGACTCTTGCCTACAGGCGAGAAAGAGGACATTAGAGCTCGGAACGGCATTGGAAAATGGTGCCGTATTACCGCATCTTAGAACCGAACCGTTACCGATCAATCGCTGGCGTAGGAAAATAATCAAAAAAATTCTAAAAAAATCGAACTTTTTAATTTTTTACAAACATTTTGCAATTTACCTCTTTTCCGCCTCTTACATGACGTTTGGGGAACCGAGTGTTGTATTACAGCTTCATAAGTGTTTTCTAGTTTATTTTTACGTTCACATTCACAATAGATGGCGCGCTTCTACTTTTGGCCTCGTTTTGAGTGGCGGCAAAATAACAAGTTCAGGTAAGTGTTTTTTCAACTTTTAGGACTCTTATGCTCAAATTACATGTAAATAATTAAATATTATACCGTATAAACACACACAATTAAAGAATGAATACACTGAAAAGACATTTACTAAAATAAATGCGACTTTTAGACGTTATTTGTGGTACCGATTAATGAAGTATGAATTATGAATTTCCCCGGGGATTTACCGTTCGATGTCGGTAATAAATTTCAATACCGGCATTCACCAATAACCTTACCTTTGCGCATTACCGACAATAACTCCGAGCTCTAGAGGACATGCTGTCTTTCCCATCCGCCATTTTTTGTTATCGTTACCGCAAAATTTTGCAAATCGCCTTGTCGTAACCGTCATGCTGTAACACCGTGACACTGTTGCTCATAAATATGGAATATTTTATAGATATTTATTGTTTGGTATAATTCTTACAAATGATAATAATTTGTTCAACATGTTTGTTTATTGTGTCCTGATTTCACCAAGACGAGTCGCATCCCCTTGGTGAGTCTCAACCACAATGTCAGCGGTGTGAAGTACAGTGACCTTTAGGACCTCTAGTACCACATGAAATTGCAAAGAGAGTCTGTGGGCGTAACTTTCAACTGCAGCATGATCAAGCTCCTGTGCATGATAGGTGCATAGTGCAGGATTCCCTCTGACCAGGTAATGTGCAGCAGCTACTATAGATACCAAAGCCACATGATCAGGCTCCTCCTATAGACCACATGTGGGATGAGACTGATCTCGCAATTCATGACAGGGATCCCCTACCTTGAAGTTTAGCAGGATTATGTACAGCACTGATTGGGGACCTTATTTTGCGTAGTCAGGTCAGACACATTCCTGACAATTGGCCCCGTGGGATGGATGCTCTGATTGCAGCACGAGGAAGATATACCGCATATTAGTGCTGTTGTGGGATAAATGACTCATTCATCTTGATTGTTACGCGGTATATGGCATACATTCATGGTTGCGCGGTATTTCTGATACGGGTGAATATGCCATACTCACCTGCGGTATATGGCATATTCCGCAGGTGAGTATGCGATATTCCGCAGTGAATATGCGATACAATGATTTCAGTGAATACCAGATACTCACCTGCAGAATATGTCATACTCACTTGCGGAATATGCCATATACCGCAGATGAATATGACATATACCGCAGGTGAAAACGTGATACAGAAAGCCTTGATTTGATTGGTTGCGAGAATCGACTCTAAATGTAAAATACGTTGGATTACCAATATAGTTAGTACGTCGAGTACTAATATATGACACTGTGGCTAGTCGTAGAGTACCCGCCTCTGTACTTTTCAATGGAAGAATTTTGCACTTTTGTTTAAATAATCTACATTTACTCATCCGTGTATATCATACTTCATTGATTTACCAAACCAAAGCAACGTTATAAACACACATTCTCTGATAATTTTACAGCGAATAGATAACTCAAACGAGTTCACTCGACCAGTTTTATCACCTCGCTCATAGCTGTGAGAAGGTATGTATAATTGCCATAGGTTTACCTTATAATGGGGAATAAAACATTCAAGTAATATAATTATTTCACGTACACAAATATAGGCGATCAGCCTGGGGGGTTGGTCGGTACCAAATCAGGGGAATAATGGCCATGGTGATTTTTGGGAAGGTGTACACCCCTAGAGTAAGAAAATATGTGATAGCATTGCAGAAGTGGCAGCTAAATGGGTGTTATCACCCATTTTTCAAAATGGCCGCCGGTGCGCTTGCTACCATATGAAAGAAGTTATATCTAAGCATACTGAGAGGCAAAATCAGTAATTTTAGGGTCTAATTCTGGGTTTTAGAGGTCACTGATACAATTAATGCCTAAATCCAAGTCATCAAAACATAAATTCATATGAAAATCCAAGATGGCCACCAATTTTGGTTAAAAAACAAATATGTAACTAATGATACAAGCTAAAACGTTTCAAAATGATTTTGAAGAGTTTTAGAAGAGGTTTTCAAGTCTAAGGATCTTATTCATGTCTAAATCTATGTCATCAAAGGATTACCTTATATGTAAATTCAAGATGGCCGCCAAAATAGGTGCCAAAAGGAATATGTAACTACATGTATTGATACATGCTCAAAGAACAGATAAAAAGCAATTTTATTGATCATGAAAGGGTTTAGAGGTTAATGATTTCACTTATGCTTCATTTTAGTCTCAGTGATCAAATAATTACTTTTCATAGAAAACTAAAATGGCCGCCAATATGGGTGCCGAAACGAACATGTAACTATTAATGTAAGCTCAAAGAATAGCTAAAA